TCCTTCCTTCCTTCCTTCCTTCCTTCCCTCCCTCCCTCCTTCCTTCCTTCCTATCTTTTTTTTTTTTTTTAAGACGGAGTCTCACTTCTTCATCCAGGCTGGAGTGCAATGTCATGATCTCAGCTCACTGCAACCCCTGCCTCCCAGGTTCAAGCAATTTTCCTGCCCCAGTCGCTCAAGTAGCTGAGACTATAGACACGCGACAACACACCCGGCTAATTTTTGTATTTTTAGTAGAGACGGGGTTTCACCAGGTTGGCCAGGCTGGTCTCAAACTCCCGACCTCAAGTGATCTGCCCGCCTCAGCCTCCCAAGTGCTGGGATTACAGGCGTGAGCCACTGCGCCCAGCCTCTCTCTCTCTCTGTTTTTTGTTGTTGTTGTTGTTGTTTTTTAAGACAGAGTCTTGCTCTGTCTCCCCGGCTGGGGTGCAGTGGCGCAGTTTTGGCTCACTGCAGGCTCTGCCTCCTGGGCTTAAGCAATCCTTCCACCTCAGCCTCCTGAGTTGCTGGGATTACAGACATGAGGCATCACACGCGGCTAATTTTTATATTTTTCGTAGAGGTAGGGTCTCGCCATGTTGCCAGGCTGGTCTCGAATTCCTGGCCTCAAGCAATCCTCCCGCCTCAGCCTCCCAAAGGGCTGGGATTACAGGTGTGAGCCACCACACTCGGCCTGGTTTTCTTACGACGCTGATGCTGACAGTGCTCTACGTCTGTTCCTAGCCGGGAGAAGGCACAAGGAGGCTGACACAGTCCCAGGGCTGCAGGACTTACCTGGGGGGTGACCATACAGGTTGCTCATGAGGGTGGTGTTGGCCCACTCGAAGAACTCTCGGAAGCCCAGCACACCTGAGAAGCCCCTGGTGAAGCTGTGCTCGAGGTGTCTGTTGAGGTGGTAGGCGCTGGGGTCCCTCTGCCCATAGGCCACGAGCAGTAGCATCCACAGGAAGCCCAGGTATGCTGGGGAGGGAGGCACAGCCCCCAGTCAGGCAGGATCCACGACTCCCACCCAGTCCAGGTCAGGAAGTGGAAAGGCTTCCTAGACCAGCCCCTTGCCCCTGTGGTGACAATGGAACCAATCTTTATAGAGGCAGCAGAGAGGAGTAAAGTCACAGACCATGGGATCTCCTGCCTAGGTCCAAATCCCAGCTCTGCCACATCTCATCCAGGCGCCCTTCACAAGTGACTCTATCCCTCCATGCCTCGCTCTCCCCATCTATGAAATGGGAATAACAATTCTGTGATGAGGGGATCAGTTACTATTAGAAAGCACTGGCCGGTGTGGTCGCTTGTGCCTGTAATCCCAGCACTTTGGTAGGCCCAGGCGGGTGGATCACTTGAGGCCAGGAGTTCAAGACCAGCCTGGCCAACATGGTGAAACCCTGTTTCTACTAAAAATACAAAAATGAGCTGGGCATTGTGGTGCATGCCTGTAATTCCAGCTACTCAGGAGGCTGAGGCAGAAGAATCGCTTGAACCTGGGAGGCAGTTGTTGCAGTGAGCTGAGATCACGCCACGGCACTCCAGCCTGGGTGGCAGAACAAGACTCCATCTCAAAAAAAAGAAAAAAAAAATAGAAGGCACATAAAGCTGTGTCTGCAGGCCGGGCACTGTGGCTCATGCCTGTAATCCCAGCACTTTGGGAGGCCGAGACTGGTAGATCACCTTAGGTCAGAAGGTCGTGACCAGCCTGGCCAACATGGTGAAACCCCCTCTCTACTAAAAATGCAAAAATTAGCCGGGTATGGTGGTGCACGCCTGTAGTCCCAGCTACCTGGGAGGCTGAGTCAGGAGAATTGCTCGAACCCAGGAGGCAGAGGTTGCAGTGAGCTGAGATCGCGTCATTGCACTCCAGCCTGGGCAACAGAGCAAGACTCCGTCTCAAAAAAACCACAAAAAACAAAAAACAAAAAAACAGTGTTTGCTACATTATTTCTTAAATAGCATTTTTAAAAATGGGGCACTTGCCACTTTGCATGGCTGAGGGTATGATGGTGAAGACAAACACGTTCCTGCCCCTCATGGTGCTCACCTGTCTTGTTGGAGACAGGTGAGTGTGACGTAGAGGATCTTTTAGGTGCAAATATTTAGCGTGGGAGGCTGGACATCACAATCACATGAGGGATCAGGTTCCTAGTGAACCAGAACCTCTGGTTCCCAGGCCTGGGAATCTGCATTCCAAGACCCTCCCCCTTTCCCTCAACTGTCTCAGAAGACTTGAATGGACACCAATGAGTAGGACACCATGGGGGCATGCACTACACACTCTCTCCAAGGTCCACAGTGGGACTGAATCCCAGCGGCCCACCTAAAACCCACCTGTCAGGCACCCTCTGTCGGCTTCCTTCCCTCTCCACTGCCCTCTCTCCTCCAACCAGTGCTTTCCAGGACCACCTCCCAAATCAGCTACTTGCACCCAAATCTGCTCTGGGAAATCCAGACTCAGAGGCTCCCTGAGGTGTGAAGGCTTTTGACGAGAGGGGCCAGGGAAGCCACGCTGCAGACACAGTGCTTAGGCTGAGATTTAAAGAATACGAGGAATTAGGCCAGGCGCGGTGGCTTACACATGTAATCCCAGTACTTTGGGAGGCCAAGGAGGGCAGATCACTTGAGGTCAGGAGTTCAAGATCAGCCTGACCATCATGGCAAAACCCCATCTCTACCAAAAAAACAAAAATTATCCGGGCATGGTGGTGTGTGTTTGTGGTCCCAGCTGCTCGGGAGGCTGAGGCAGGAGAATCGCTTGAACCTGGGAGGCAGCGGTTACAGTGAGCCAGGATTGTGGCACTGCACTCAAGTCTGAATGACAGAGTAAAACTGTATCTCAAAAAATAGAATTAAAAATTAAATAAAAAATTTAAAAATCTTAGGCCGGGTGCGGTGGCTCACGCCTGTAATTCCAGCACTTTGGGAGGGCGAGGCGAGTGGATCACCTGAGGTCGGGAGTTTGAAACTGGCCTGACCAACACGGAGAAACCCCGTCTCTACTAAAAAAAAAAATACAAAAGTAGCTGGGCATGGTGGTGCATGCCTGTACTCCCAGCTACTTGGGAGGCTGAGGCAGGAGAATTGTCTGAACCCAGGAGGCGAAGGTTGCGGTGAGCTGAGATCACGCCATTGCACTCCAGCCCAGGTAACAAGAGAGAAACTCCGTCTCAAAACAAACAAAACAAAACAGAATTTAAAAATCTTTATAAAGGCTGAACATGGTGGCTCACACCTGTAATCCCAGCATTTTGGGAGGTCAAGGCGGGCAGATCACCTGAGGTCCGGAGTTCGAGACCAGCCTGGCCAACATGGTAAAACCCTGTCTCTATTAAAAACACAAAATTTAGCTGGGTGTGGTGGCGCACACTTGTAATCCCAGCTGCTCAGGAGGCTGAAGTGAGAGAATGGCTTGAACCTCAGAGGCAGAGGTTGCAGTGAGCCGAGATTGTGCCACTGCCCTCCAGCCTAGGTGACAGAGTGAAACTCTGTCTCCAATAAATAAATAAATAAGAAGAATAAAAGGAATTAGCCAGAAGAAAAGCTGGGGAGGAAGAGTGAGCAGACTCCAGGCCGATGAGATGGAACTGCCCAGGCAGAAGCCTGGGGCGAGGACGGAGTGCAGGTCCCAGGTGCTATAGAAGCCAATGTGAGGACAACGTGGGGCGCTGGAGCTGGCAGCAGGCACTTGAAGCGGGTAGAGCCACAGGAGGGGGTTTGGGTTTTGTCCTAAGGGTCATGAGGGGCCACTGAAGGATTTTAAGAGTAAGGGAGAAGCTGGAGTGTGCAGATATCCAGGGAAACTGAGGCCCAAAAGACAAGCGGGACTTATCAAAAATAGCACCGTAACGGTGTCTGTCTGTTTCAGGCTGTGCTGAGAGCCAGCGAGTTGGAAGGTTGCCTACCCAGGATTTCTGTGATGAGGGCAAATGCTTTCTGTTCCTTGAGGTGGGTGGTTTTCATCTTCTCAACGGCAGCGGCGAGAGGTGGCTGGTAGACGTCCCTGCTGCTGTTTCTTCGTGCTCGGAACAAGGCATAGGGGTCTGTGGAGGGAAGGACACCAGGACAGCCCCCAGGTGGGCAGAGGACAGGCTCTGCGTTTGCAACCATAAGGCCTCTCTCTCACCCACGGCAATGGGCTCCGTGTTCCTCTTCCTCGGGAGTCGTTTCCCAGCCTACCCTCCACACCTCCGTCCAGGCTTCCCCAGGGCCTAGCGTCCCACGCCTCCTCCGTCTGGAGGATTCTCCACAGGGAGAGCACAGAGCTGTCTTCCCCGCCCTGAAATCTTTCTGGCCCCTGCACTGCCTTCCGCGACACTCCAAAATTGATGGATTCAAGGATGAGGGTGACAAATATCTCAAAGTCCTGTCATGTCTGTTACCTAGTATCTTTATTTTTT